TCAGACCTGAGCCCAGATACATCACCTACACACACACACACACACACACTCACACACACACATACACACACACACTCTGATTATACAGTCACATGACTCTCTCTCTCACACACGTGCAGCACCTGCTCGATGCTGTATCCTCCGGCCAGAGACGCCCCGTATCCGCCCACAAACACCAGGCCAGGCAGAGAGTAGAGGTAGTTGTGCTCCGGAGGGTCCGTGGGCCTCTTAAACATGTCCAGCATCCTCTGTGTGATCAGGAACCCACCTGAAGAGCAGATCAAGCAGATCAAGTGCTGTCAGTACTGTGTGCGATCTGTGCTCTTCAGCACTATATGAAGGCTGTAGCAAAGTCTTTTGTTAATATCATCTATAAGTGCAGTTCACAAAGTGGCCCAGTGTCAGAGACTAACCATAATTTACAAGAATGATTTGGAATTATATAGATTATAGATTATTTTTAGTTTAATTTATATAATTAATTAATATAATTAACATAATAATTATTATTATATTACTATTATTGTAATGATATTTAATATTAGTATTGATCATTTTAATATTAATTAATTTTTAATATTAACCTAACTTCATTAAAATTCTAATATGTATATATAGGCTATTGAGGGGGAAAAACAAATGTGATTTAAATTTAGATCTACATTATATATACAGTACATATATATATATTTTTTTTAATTTAGATTTTTTCTTTTTTTTTTAAGACAAGCATACAGTTATAGTTATAGTTATATTAATATTAAAGTAGGGAGCCTTTGAATATTGTGGTAGGGGGGTTATTTAAAAAATGTTGAGAACCGCTGGTTTATAGGTTGTTGTGTTTGAGGTGTAGTTTATGGGTTGATTCCTCTCTGACCTGCGATGTTGATGGAGCACACACACTCACACACACACACACACACACACACTCACTCATATCTTCAGGTGTATCTGCGACACACACACACACACATCAGCACTCACACACACACACTCACTCATATGTTCAGGTGTATCTGCGACACACACACTCACACACACACACACACACACACTCACACATACAGGTGGTATAGGAAAGGGATAAAGCATAACGCAGTAGAGAGAAGAGAAAATAAGAATATGAAGTTATGGAACCATTTGCATATTCAGCAGATCTACCACACACACACTCACTCATATGTTCAGGTGTATCTGCGACACACACACACACACACACACATCAGCACTCACACACACATCAGCACTCACACACACATCAGCACACACACACACACACACACACACACACTCATATGTTCAGGTGTATCTGCGACACACACACACACACACACACACACACACACACACACACTCATATGTTCAGGTGTATCTGCGACACACACACACACACACACACATCAGCACTCACACACACACACACACACACTTATATGTTCAGGTGTATCTGCGACACACACACACACACATACATCAGCACTCACACACACACACACTCATATGTTCAGGTGTATCTGCGTGAGCCTCACCTGAGATGGCGTTGGTCACTGACATCAGCGGAGAGTGCAGCGCCGGAGTCACACCCCACACCGTGTGATATCCCACAATTCCAGCGAGGCCAAAGGTCGTCACCATCTGAGTGAAGGCAGCATTAGGAGAGGCGATACCCAAACCCAGCACGGTCGAGAGACCTTCACAACAGCAGAGAGAGAGAGAGAGAGAGTTCCTCCATAACAGTGTTTCATTCATTTGTGCATTCATTCATTTTTGCATGTTTTTTCCTCAATCATTTATTAATTCATTATTTATTATTTGTTTAAATGCATTAAATTTATTGTCATATCAGCTACACAGACTATTTCATGGCAGATACAAATTATAAACATACAATAATGTGTATGTAAAACATACAAAATAACTCTATAAAAGATTTGTTAGGTTAATTGTACTTGTGATCAAAATCAATTGATCAAATTTTTTGTCCTGTCCTGATTCATTTTTTTTGTTCATGCATTCCTTTATTCATGCATTCGTTCATCAGATCATTCATTTATCAATTGTTTATTTATTCATTCATCCATTTGTTTATTCATTCAACCATTCATTAAATTATTTGTTCATTTGTTTATTCATGCATTCATTAATTTGTTAATTCCTTCAGTCATGCATTTATTCAATTGTTTGTTCATGTATTCCGTTATTCATGCATTCAATCATCCGCTCATTCTATTTTTTTCCTTCATTCATTAATTCAATAGTTTGTTGGTTCATGGATTCCATTATTCATGCATTCATTCATTGATCCATTCATTCATTTGTTTGTTTAGCCATCCATTCATTCATTTGTTCATTCCTTCATTCATGCATTTATTCAATTGTTGGTTCATGTATTCCGTTATTCATGCATTCATTAATCTGCTTATTCTTTTTTTTTTCATTCATTAATTCAATCGTTTGTTGGTTCATGGATTCCATTATTCATGCATTCATTCATTGATCCATTCATTCATTTGTTTGTTTAACCATCCATTCATTTATTTGTTCATTCCTTCATTCATGCATTTATTCAATTGTTGGTTCATGTATTCCGTTATTCATGCATTCATTAATCTGCTTATTCTTTTTTTTTCATTCATTAATTCAATCATTTGTTGGTTCATGGATTCCATTTTTCATGCATTCATCCATTCATTAATTTGTTCATTCCTTCATTCATGCATTTATTCAATTGTTGGTTCATGTATTCCGTTATTCATGCATTCATTAATCTGCTTATTCTTTTTTTTTCATTCATTAATTCAATCATTTGTTGGTTCATGGATTCCATTTTTCATGCATTCATCCATTCATTAATTTGTTCATTCCTTCATTCATGCATTTATTCAATTGTTGGTTCATGTATTCCGTTATTCATGCATTCAATCATCCGCTCATTCTATTTTTTTCCTTCATTCATTAATTCAATAGTTTGTTGGTTCATGGATTCCATTATTCATGCATTCATTCATTGATCCATTCATTCATTTGTTTGTTTAGCCATCCATTCATTCATTTGTTCATTCCTTCATTCATGCATTTATTCAATTGTTGGTTCATGTATTCCGTTATTCATGCATTCAATCATCCGCTCATTCTATTTTTTTCCTTCATTCATTAATTCAATAGTTTGTTGGTTCATGGATTCCATTATTCATGCATTCATTCATTGATCCATTCATTCATTTGTTTGTTTAGCCATCCATTCATTCATTTGTTCATTCCTTCATTCATGCATTTATTCAATTGTTGGTTCATGTATTCCGTTATTCATGCATTCATTAATCTGCTTATTCTTTTTTTTTCATTCATTAATTCAATCATTTGTTGGTTCATGGATTCCATTTTTCATGCATTCATCCATTCATTAATTTGTTCATTCCTTCATTCATGCATTTATTCAATTGTTGGTTCATGTATTCCGTTATTCATGCATTCATTCATCTGCTTATTCTTTTTTTTTCATTCATTAATTCAATAGTTTGTTTGTTCATGGATTCCATTATTCATGCATTCATCCATTGATCCATTCATTCATTTGTTCGTTCGTTTATTAGGTCTCTGACCTGCTGTATAGACTCCTGCTGATGTCATGGTCTGTCTAAACGGGGATATTTCGGCCTGTTTCTCCGCCTCCAGCTCGGCGACGCTCTTCAGCTTGGCGGGTGGCGGCGGCGGGGTGGTTTTCGGTAGCGGCGCGGGAAAAAGATTCTTACCTTGCTGGAAACATTAAAATAAAATATTTATTTTTAAAATAAAATCCTTTAATAGTTTCGTGTGATTTCTAATGTCAGCATGCGTTGATGCACGTGAGAGGAGTGAGTTCATCGTTACCTTCATCACCATCGTCCCTCTGATCACGTGATCCAGCGTGCCGTAATCAAACTCATCGCAGGGCTCAAACTGGAAGAGCTCTTTGTCGGGGCTGATGGCCTTCAGCAGCTTGATGATGTTGTTGGAGTAGAGCGTGCTGGCCTGCGTGGGCATCCGGCTGGGCAGATCCGTGTAGCCGATGTGTGTCACGCCCTTATGGACGTACAGCTCTCCGGGTTTAGTGGTCTCGATGTTTCCTCCGGCCTCCGCCGCCAGATCCACCACCACCGACCCGTCACGCATGCTCTCCACCATCTCACGCTTGATCAGCACTGGAGCTCTTTTACCTGAACACACACACGACTGTGATCAAACCAAGCTTTACAAATAAAGCAATAAGCCCCAAGAAGCCGTGGTTTACAGTGAATTTATAACAGTTAAGGGACGTTGTTAGCTTAGCGGTTATAAATTCACTGTAAACCACGGCTTCGCGGGGATTATTGCTTTTATAAAATGGTTATTCCATATACGTAGTAAGGTTTCACAAAATAAAACAGAGCAAATAAAGTGTAATGATATTAATAAAAACAGTATTCTTCCACCAAACAATGTAGCTCCTCAGAAATAGTTGTGGTTGCAACAAAGTGGTTGCCGAGCAACAGACAAACGTAAACAAAGGTGTGTGTTACTTTGTAGAGTCATTTACAACAGCTTCGAACGCGGCTCAGCCAATCAGAATCAAGCACCGGAACTATCTGTTTTATTAGATCAATTTAAGATCAAGTAAAGAACATTTAAGGAATAAAGTGAAGGGAACACAATATGTTAATATGTTCTCTGAATGTAAATGTCTTCCAAAAGATTGCCAAAACGTTTTAATATTTAATATTTTAATATCTTTGCTCCCAAACACTAGAATTTGGACGTAACTTTTATTGTACCTTCAGTTCACACTGCAAAAAATGTATGCTCTTTCTCAGTATTTCTGTATTGTTTTTCAGTGCAAATGTCTGAAGATTCTTAAATCAAGACACATTTACAGGAGAAGCAAAATGAAGTGTTGTTTTCTGAGAAACTGAACAAAATGAAGCGATTTTATGATTAAAACAAAAACAAATATCTCCTAATGGACTCAGAAAAATAAACTTAACTCAAAGGGAAACAAGTTTTCATTCCCCATTGACAGATATTTGTTCTTGTTTTAAGCATAGATTCATTTAATTTTGTTCAGTTTCTCAGAAAGCAAGAGTTCATGCGTTCATTTTGCATCTCCAGTAAATGTGTCTTGGTTTAAAGATGTTTAGATATTTGTACTGGAAAACAAGACAGCAATACTGAGGAAGGTGTTCATTTTTAGCAGTTCATGCAACATTTAATGCTTAAATCTTAAATCAGAGAAGAAAGTCTTGTAACGTCATGACCGATTTAAAGGTGACATATCATGAAAATCTGTCTTTTCCAGGTTTTAAGTGCTATAATCAGGTCTCCGGTGCATCTACCAACCAAGGAAACGTGAAAAAGATTAACCCAGTAACTTTGTTTTGGGAAGCCTTTTTCTGCAAGCGTCTGAGAAAGCCAGCGTCTGATTGCGCTCCCTTGGTGACGTGGCAAAGGGATCTCATTATAATATTACTGCCCCTTAATCTGCACATTTCCACCCATAGTGCCGTCATTTTGATTTTGCAAGCGACAACGGTGTACCAGTTCTAATGCCATGATGAAAGTTTGAGCAAAACCAGTTTTGGCTGCACAGACGAGCACAGAACACTGTTTAGAGTCCCAGCCTCAGAGGAGACAACAGAGCAGTGAAACAGCGTGTTTCTGCTTCCACTCAAAATAGGCATTTTCAAAATGATATAATAAATGATCTGTGGAGTATTTTGAGCTGAAACTTCACAGACACATTCTGGGGACACCAGAGACTTATATTACATATTGTAAAAAGGGGCATAATATGTCTCCTTTAATGCGTAAATCTTAAATCAGAGAAGAAAGTCTTGTAACGTCGTGACCGATTTAAGATATTTTTAGGCCTTAATTTGTGGAAGGGTGGATTAAGACTTGCTTAAGACGGGCAGAAACCCCGTCAAATGTGACAAGAGACACAAGCGAATGTGAACATAAAACAGTGCGGATCATTCATTCTCTGTGTGTTCACCAGGAATCAGAGCCGTGCTGATGACGATGTCGACGTCCTTGCACTGTTTGGCAAACAGACTCATCTCGGCCTCCAGGAACTCTTTAGACATTTCTTTGGCATATCCTCCGAGGCCTTCGCCCGACTCTGCGATGTGTATCTCCAGCGGCTCCGCTCCGAACGACTTGAACTGCTCCAGTGCTGCGGGTCTGACGGGAGACACACAGACTTCAGTTTGACCTCAGGTTTAGACTGATGAAGCGTCTGGCGTCACACACACCTGGTGTCGAATCCTCTGACTATGGCACCCATTGATTTAGCAGCTCCAGCCGCAGCCAGACCTGCGACGCCGCCACCGATAACCAGCACCTACACACACGACACAGCGCTCGTTTAGTGATGTTTACTTCAGTAATGCTTCTGTGAGAGCTCAAGAAATCATATTTGATTAGCAAAGGCCTTGTTTGTTTTGTGTGTATGTGTTTCCAAATATATCTGGACAGTTTAGTTACACTTAAAAATGTCTGAATGTTAATCATCAAAATGAGGCATCATGTGTCATTTATTCCAAATAAAGATACACAAACACATTTGTGACCCTGGAGCACAAAAGCAGTCATAAGGGTCAATTTTTAAAAAATTGAGATTTATGCATCAGCTGAAAGCTGAATAAATAAGCTTTCCATTGATGTATGGTTTGTTAGGATAGGACAATATTTGGCTGAGATACAACTATTTGAAAATCTGGAATCTGAGGGTGCAAAAAAATCTAAATATTGAGAAAATCATCTTTAAAGTTGTTCAAATTAAGTTCTTATCAATGCATATTACTAATCAAAAATTAAGTTTTGATATATTTACGGTAGGAGATTTACAAAATATCTTCATGGAACATGATCTTTACTTAATATCCTAATGATTTTTGGCATAAAAGAAAAATCAATAATTGTGACCCATACAATGTATTGTTGGCTATTGCTACAAATATACCCCAGCGACTTAACACTGCTTTTGTGCTGCAGTCACAAATAATAATTAAGACTTCTGTTATACCATTTAAGATATTTAAAACTTTTTATGGTTTTAATTTTGGTCAAACTGAATTTAGGACATTTTAAGGATTTTTAAATCAGCTAATCAAAAGTTCCTGCATCATTTGAGACACACGGATTATTTCAGCATCACTGAGATACTATTATACTTTTTGGTTTTGTTTTTATATTTTCTGCTTTCATGTTAATTTTAATTAAAGTTGTAGTCATTTTTTTTGTGTGTTTGTCATTTGTATTTTTTTTTCAAATATGTCTTTGCAGTTTTTATTTCAGTTTTAGCTTCTTTTTTTATTATTTTGCATTGGAAACAAACTGAAATAAAATGATTTTTTAAATATATTTAATTTTATTTTAATTAGCATTTATTTTACTTCAAGTAACAAGGTTTTAAAAGGGTTTTAGGAGTGATCAGACGTGTGTTCAGTACCTTCGCCGGAGGAACTTTTCCTGCCGCTGTGATCTGCCCAGTGAAGAACCTTCCGAAGTGATTGGCTGCGAGAACCACGGCCTTGTACCTGCGGACGAGAGCGTAACGAATGAGATTTCATCATCACACAGATCTCCACACACACACACAGAGAGAGAGCGGGATCGGCCGTCTCACCCGGCGATGTTGGCCATGGAGCTGAGTGCGTCGTATCCCTGTGCGATGGTGACGCGTGGCACCTGGTCCATCGCCAGCACCGTACACTGCTGTGTGCTCAGCCTGTCCATCAGCTCGGGGTTCTGCGCCGGGTAGATGAAGCTAACCATTGTGGCTCTGGGCTTCAGGAGGTCTGCTTCATGCACTCGTAAACCCTCGTTAAACACCGGCCCTCGAACCTACGAGTCACAGCACTGATGCACATCACTAAACCACAATCAAAACACACATTACATGACCTGAAACAGCATTTAGAGTCAGTGTATGAGAATATATTTCTGCAATATGCCACTCACTCACTCACAGATGATCACATGACTTCTATTCACAACAACAGCAAGAATGTTTTGATACAACAGATCAATAAACAAGATGTTCATATGTAATAAGTGACATTTCACACAAATATGATGTTTATTTTTGCTCTTTCTTTAAAAATAGATTTTAGAGCTCATCAGCCGAGCAGATCTGACAGTTGTATAATTGTGAACAATTATGAATCACACTCTTTCCTCAGCTGAACTGCTTTGAGCTAAAATATTTTCTTGATGGCCACCTGAGATTTTAAGTTAATATTTCAGTAATTTAACAACACATTCACGTGTTCATGGTTCTCTGATGTTGGTTAATTGTCACATGACATGCAGATAAACAAATAAAATATTTAATCTTTTTTAGTAAGTTTTATTTAGATTTGTTTGTTTTTAATTATTTATGTTAATGGTATTATGATTTAACGAATTATTAGCCTGTCCCTGCTATAGAGAATTAGTCATTCATCTCTGAATTCTAAACTCAGAATCACAAGATATGAACTCAGAATTGTCTTTTTTTCTCTCTTTGTCTTTGCTGTTTCACATTTTACATTTACATTTAGTCATTTAGCAGATGCTTTTATCCAAAGCGACTTACAAGTGAGGACAATAGAAGCAATCAGAATCAACAAGAGAGCAATGATATGCAAGTGCTATAACAAGTCTCAGTTAGCTTAACGCAGTACATGTAGCAAGGTTTTTTCTTTATTTTTTATTATATAATAAACAAAAAGAAAATAGATAGAATAGAAAAAGAATAGAGCAAGCTTTTTTTTTGTACGGTACCTTATTATTATTGTTGTTTGTTTTATGACCCTTATGTACAGCACTTTGGTCAACTACTGTTGTTTTTAAATGTGCTAAACTCAGAATTGCGATTAAACTCAGAATTGCAAGATATAAACTCAGAATTGGGATTAAACTCAGAATTGCGAGATATAAACTCAGAATTGCAATTAAACTCAGAATTGCAATATATGAACTCAGAATTGGGATTAAACTCAGAAGTGCGATTAAACTCAGAATTGCGATTAAACTCAGAATTGGGATTAATGAACTCAGAATTGTTAAACTCAGAATTGCGATTAAACTCAGAATTGCAATATATGAACTCAGAATTGGGATTAAACTCAGAATTGCGAGATATAAACTCAGAATTGCGATTAAACTCAGAATGGCGATTAAACTCAGAATTGCCATTAAACTCAGAATTGCGAGATATGAACTCAGAACTGCGATAAACTCCACTGTATCACATTAGTATTAAAGCAGGTGTAATTGCGTCCAGAGGCTCTGAGCAGATGTCGTTCAGGCGTCAGCTGATGGATATGATGGATATTATAGTCTCAAAGCAGCCTGAAGCTGGTTAACTGTCACCGTCCCACCTGTGGGACACTTGGGACACTTGGTTGTTGTTGTCCTTTTTCTCTATCAAATCTTTTAGTAATCATCATAAATTATACATCATTTGAAAGTTTAAAATCTCAAAATTTAAACATTGTAATACCATTGAAATGGTACTTTAAAATCTTTTAGCAGTCTCCTCTCCCTTAGTGGGTGGTGTCAAGTGTCATATTACAAAATGTATTACAATCAAAACTTTTTATAATCTTTTATTAATCTTATTTTGAGATAGAAGAAATACTGAGAGAGAAATGTATACATCTTTGACAGAAAATTGCATCAAAATAAATAAATAAAATGTAAATAAAATCAATAGATTTGGGGTATAACGCCTAAACCTCTTTTTTTATATCAACTTCAAATTTGGAACATAACTTATTTAGACATATGACTTTAATTTTATATCAATTTTATATAAACATGTTTTAATATATAATATTTAATATTATAATAATAATATTATTTTATGTTTTTATATAATAAAAAAAAATTACAGTACATTTTCTTTACAGTAAATTGTAACTTCCATGACTTTTGAAATTATTTTTTGAAATGAGACTGCATTAATCTGCTGGTTGTCTTCTTTAAAAAGAGACCAACCTGTATTCCAAAGCATTGAATTATAACAATTTAAGTTTGGATAGTGCACTTTCAGGTCCATGTTCAAACATGGGGCGTGACAGTTAAGGGGATATCAACTCAAAACCCCACTGCAGTTCTTGCCCAGTTTGGAAACCCTGGTGTAATTTAGTGTTTAATACATCGTATATGTTAATATAAAAAAATGGAATACATTTTCTTTCTCTTTGCTTTTTTTATATCAATATGGTACGTTTAATGATAAGTTTAAAACACGTTTGATAAAAAAAAGTCATCTAAAAGTAATCACAATACATCACCTAAAATGAGTAACCTAGATTACGTTACTAACTACAGTTTTCATCATATAATCTGTAATCAGTAACGGACTACAAATAATCTACACTGATTTTTAAATCAATATACTTTAAAAATCAATATGATCAGTTTACATTTTATTGATATTTTTCTGCAGCTATATCACAGAGAGTATTTTCCCTGCAATACCAACCATTTTCAGAGAAAATCATATTGTTTCTGAACAAGAGCTATCTTTTTTTTTTTCAGGCTGACGAGCCCTCAACAATACCACGGAGAAAGGTTTGGTCTCACAAGTTTGTTTTAGATACAGTGTCACCATAAACTCAGAATTGCGATTAAACTCAGAATTGCAATATATGAACTCAGAATTGCAATTAAACTCAGAATTGCAATATATGAACTCAGAATTGGGATTAAACTCAGAAGTGCGAGATATAAACTCAGAATTGCGATTAAACTCAGAATTGCGATTAAACTCAGAATTGCGATTAAACTACTCAGAGGGATTAAACTCAGAATTGCGAGATATAAACTCAGAATTGCGATTAAACTCAGAATTGCGAGATATAAACTCAGAATTGCGATCAAACTCAGAACTGCGAGATATAAACTCAGAATTGCGATTAAACTCAGAATTGCGATTAAACTCAGAATTGGGATTAAACTCAGAATTGCGAGATATAAACTCAGAATTGCGATTAAACTCAGAATTGCAATATATGAACTCAGAATTGGGATTAAACTCAGAA